ACTGTGTTGCTGTGTTAGTGGGGGTACGCGGGAAAAAATAGTATTCTTGTTTGAAGCGCGACGACTGATCTGTGCCGATCGCTAGCTAGCATTGATTAAAATTGACAGACTTGCGTCGTTTGCTCGCCAAAGGAAGGAGCATCAAAGGTAGAACATATCAGGCTAAAGCACGTTGAAAATCAGGCAAGCCTTGGGCAAAATAGGTTTGTTTATACCAGCAACACTTAGAACTGAATTTTAATCTCGAATAACTTCCGTAAAATTTATATTTTAAACTTTTATCATGCGTAAATTATTGTAAATAAAGCTAAAGCTTAATAATTCCTTGGACTTTTGATGTTCAAGAATTGAATAACGTACTCTCGAACTTTCGATAAAGGTGAAAATTTTGATCCATGACCGAGAAGAAGGTTTTGGAGGTCTCTGAACGATGTCATTTCTTAAACTGACGAAGCGAGAATAAACAAAAATTTCAGACGTCGTCGTCCTTGAGCAACTTCACTGCTTAAGTTTCATTTTCCCGCTAAAAACGACGTCCTCGTTCCAGACCCTCCGCGATTACATGACGTCGTCGTCGTCCCTTTCGTCGTGGTTGCTTAAGCTCCCTATTGTCTCGTCTTGAACGACTTTACCCAGCTGGGCGAGCCAAAGTGTTTGTTTGGAGAAAAGTTTACCAAGCTAGGAGGGTACCCATACCATCGAAAAAGAGTGGCCCGGCTAGGCGAGTCACCCTTCTAACCGAGGCAACTTTTTGTTTATCATATCAACGGTTCGGCAAGTTTTGTAAGGGAATGCAGGAAACGTTGGATCGCCCAGGTTAGCTCGGTAGGCGAGTGACCCTTCTACCCTGGACAATTTTTCTCCATACAAACAGGGCCTAACGCCTTCCGAACGAATCCACCCGAAGCACAACACTATAAGTTCGCACCTCATTCGAGGGTCATGTACATTTAAATGGAATAAATTAAAAGCCTCCGATTCCAGTTTCGCGATCTGAACACCATTTTTCTGTCCCTCTTGTGCATTCAGTACAAAATTTCTGGCAAGATCTCCACGGTGGTCAGTATTAAAGTAGCCATTAATTTTCAAAAACCGAAACTCTTCTAAACTGTTAGCCTGCAGAGCAGGCGTTCTAGTTGAGCTTGGGTGAAAATTAGACCGCGCGAAAAATGGAGCGAGGCTAAAAATTAGGAGGTGGGGGGAGGGGGAGAGGAGAGGAGGGCCTCTCTTCATTTTCGCGCGGTCTAATTTTTCGCCCAGACTCCACTAGAACGCCTGCTCTGCAGGCTACTAAACTGTGTCCAGGGTGAATAATAAGGGAGAACGTATACGAGGTGACCTGGCACGCCAGCTATCGTAAACGCTTAATATATATGATGCCATACACGAAACTAAAATCATCAATACAAGCAATGCTTGATACCTAGATCTTAGAATTGAAAAACTTACATACGAAATAAATACCGTAGAAAACTAGGTCAGTTTCTCGAAGTAAAAACTCACCAGTCTGTATTTTATTTTTTTTAAAGTTTTGAGTATGCTTCTTAATGTTCCCACGCGAGCGTATAACAGTAAAAAGGTCACGGTCAGTTCTGCCGTGACATTACAAAGGATAATATGTATCTCAAAACAATTTCACAGTGGCGTCTTCGGCACGTGATCGAAAAGAAGACTTTTCATTCAAATATCTAAATAAGTTTGAAAAAATATTTCTATTCGAAGAGAGAGCATTGTACCTTTCAATCAGCGACTAATGACCGGAAGAGCCGCTAACTTTGCGAAGCGAGTAAGGTCCGAAATACGATACCTTGAGTTTACAAGTGTGACCCTGTCTGATGGAATGAAGGAATCGCGGAATAGCAGAATATCCTACGACGCGAAATGTCCGTTTTTGAATGAAACAAAAGTCTTACAAAAATTGCACTGAGATAAGAAAATGATTTATAATTAACAGGCAAAATTAAAAGAGGCATAGTTCAATCACTTATCGGAGCCTGGGGGATAGCTAGACGGATAAAGGAACAGAAATTATTTGTTTTACCATCATTTTTGGCAATATGATTATTTGTTACCATTTAATTGGGTCTTGACCGTCACTAAGCTACTATTTTCTGGAATCATCTTTCCGTTGTGGAACAGCATTACCATACTCATAAATATGTGTGATGTCGTAGGTTTTCTGTTTTGCATAAGAGACAAATCTTCATCCACACTACCTTAATTCTAGCGTAAGTATACAACCTCTAGTTCTTTCAATGCTATGAAAATCGTGTTTTATCATTTGCCACATGCAGTATTCACCTATCTATATCTATTATTCATGAGACAGTCACGTTATTTGTAACTCAAAATAGACACCCAATCACGTTTATTTATCTTAGACAAAAATAAGAGGTTTAAGACAAACCTGTTTTCCATATGGAAATTATATCTGTTTGTCACATGACAATTGCAACTTCGCCATACTTGTATAGTTAACATGGCTGAAATATATGGGTTACGAGTAGGTGAAAAGCAAGAAAATACGAATTTCTCCACAACAGAACGAACCAAAGCCGTTATATGCCACATTCGGACGAGGTCGGCCATTATTTTCATCCCTTCAGAAGGTTCAGCCGAGGAAGTAATCACACAAAGAAGTCATGCTCCACCAGTTTACTTGCCATTTCATGTTGAAACTTTAGAGGACTTTTCAGTTTCGGGGATTAATTTCATGATCAACTCTGCTATTTTTTTTTCATCATACTACTGTCTTGTTCGTTTCACTGTTCAAATGACTACGAAGCGTAGAGAGATGGCAAGTTCGGGACAAATTTTGCTAATGCTGGAGACAAGCAAAACTGGCTGGTTAGACAGGCAATTCGTGAAACCGGAAATTTTAGCCTGTTTCATACTCACCACGCACACAAGAAATATGACGATGAAACGGACTAGAGACACGAGAGGTAGGAGATTACATTTTTTTCTACAAAAATTTCTTGTGAGTTTTACAGAAAAGGCAAAAATCTCGCCATTTCATTATCGGCTAACAGAGCGATGTTATCGAACGTTAAAAGGAAGGCGAACTTAAAACTTCTATACACGACTTAACCTAACTCTTCTCTTGAATTCGAAAAACGACAGAACTGTCATTTCAACAGAACGGATAGGCCATTCGGCAAAAAATATTACAAAAGTAGTCTGACGGTTACCTTTATCTATTTAATGCCTCAACTACAGTAGAGAAATTCATGTCAGTCTGGTCCGAGAAGAGAGACTATTTCGGGCATCAGCTGGTATCCATAACGGTCCTCCGCTACAGTTGCCAATGCCCATCCTTTTAAAATATCCATGAAAGGTTGAGTTCGAGTCACTGAGTGAAATAAGTTGAATTTTTTCATTAGTGGTAACGGAACTTTCGCGAACTGTTCCTTCATACACAGACCATTACCCTTAAATTTGACATGTCGCGTTACAAGATGAATATCACACCCTACAAATTACAAGAGGCAGGCGTGAGGATGACCTCTATGAGAATTATTTTGCAACCGAAAACCTATTGAGTTATAACACGGCGAGATTGAACAAGCAATCGAGGGCTTTGAACCTCAACATGAAGCAATGCGTTGTAGATGGTCACGGTTGAGTTTCATCAATTTAGCCATAGGGACAAATTTTTTTCTGGTTTGATAAATGCAAGAGCCATGCTATGAAAGTTCAACGATCCTGTCTGGTGGGCTTTAACTGAAGAAATCGGAGAAAAGAAGCCTATAGTGAGTCCTAAGAACGGTGAACGTATTTGAATTGTGAATTGACAATCCATATTTAGCAAGTTTACGTTTCAGGGATTGAAATAATGCGTTGCTAACTGAGGTAAACATACGTTTAGAGTTAGTTGTCAAGCAACAGTTCTGTATCTGCGTAGGTACTAAAAGTTAGAATCACCTGAAACCATCTGAAACCATCGATGAAACCACCTGAAACCACCGATGAAACCACCTGAAACCATCTGAAACCCCCAAGGAAACCATCTGAAATTACCTGAAAATATCTCGAAACAATACGTCTGCATCTGAGGGTGTATACAACGGCCAATCCTAGCAACAATGTCAAGATTTACTACGTACCAAACTATATCGGAAAGACTACTGCAAGTTAAGCAGCTTGATGGTTAGTGATAACTATTACGTTATTTTTAGGTTCCTTTATGCCATTTTCCTGTAACTAATACTAACGGTCTGAACAAACCGAGCTACAAAAACAAGTTTTCCTTTACAAACTTGTACTTGCCGAAAACTTTTCAAGCCAAAATTTCAGCAATGTGTTGAAACGCATTATATGTTTCTGGGGAGTCGGCAACGCCGGAAGTTTTAAAAGAAATTGCGAAATGGTGAAAGTGAAACAACCTAGACAGTCAATAATACTTTGTTTCAGTTTTTAAGTTTAATTTTACTTTAACTTTTCCCACTTTACCATGCACTTGCACAAGTAACTAAGCCTCCACGGCCGAGTAAAATCCGAAAATTACGGCCTTAAAATAGTGCTCTCAGTTCACTAAAACGAAGACGCTAACTAATTCCCCCGACTTTACATATATCGTGTATACTTAAATCTTTAAAATGTTTAACGTTCTCAGTTCGTCATGAATACTCTCGCAACTTCCGCTGACGTCAGAGGTTGTATTTACGTTGGAGTGGGCATTTAAAAACTGCGACAACGCATTCGATCAAAACCAGAAACATCACGCAAAACCGATGAATTTTCTCATTCAGTTATGATACCAAATCCGAAAACCTGTAGGTATTTTTGACGAAAACCGAAAACCAAATACTGAAAAACCGAAAATCTGCAAACTACAATGAAGACCAAAACCGAAAAACCAAAGTTTTTTGGCACAAAAGACGAAAATTTATCTAAAAGATACCCAATGCAGGTGGGCGAATCTATTCGAACGAACTACGTAGATGGATAATTAGATACAAATTTTTAAAGGATTTAAATCTATGTGACCAGAATTTCAATTATGTCCTGTCAATTGTCATCGAATAATGCTGAACGACAGAGCAGATTGAGAGTTGTAATGGATTGTATTGTTGTGATGTTGTGGACAAGTGAAAATCGTCAGGTTGGGGAGCGTGAGTTTTAACATCATTTTCTTTCGTGAGAGCAAATTCTGGCAACCTCGGAAGGGCATCCGTCTTTTCTTCATGTATTGTACATAAAATGAGGAAGTTCTAAGTATTTTTTATGGGACGGAAATTTTCTTACTACATTTCATAAGTGATATCATCAATGATACGGCCAACAAAGGACACCAAAACATTTAGGAAATAGAGAAGCCTTGAGTGTGCTATGTTCTGTTTTAATTTATCTTCTTAAATTGTACTTTTATTGAAGTACGAAAAGTCCTTCTCTGTGGTCTTTCGTTAATGGCAACCTCCTCCCTCTGTCTCCTTGTGGTAGGTGGGTTATGTGGAATAATCGATACATTGTGTTGTGGAATGGGCCTGTCTATCTATTTTGGCTATGTATAAAATTTGCTTTTCGAACTAAGGATGTAAATTTGATAACCGATTTTACGGATGGACTTTAACGAATACACTCCAGATAATACACTCTTTGAAGGGCAATTTGTACGCTATGCCCTGTGTGAAAAGCAACACATGTATTTTAAAAGTTCTGGAATAAACAGGGGCGCGCCTTAGCCAAGATTCACCAGCACCGGCATTCACCAGTTTTCTCCAATTGAATATAGCAGGCTATGTGCTTAAAACAAAAAAAAGACTTATAAAAGCAGGGTCAC